ACCTGCAGCTCGTCTCTCTAATCCCACTCCATACTGACAGTGTCTCTAACCCTTATGAAGGCCTTTGGTTCGTCAGACCCTGATGAGTCTCAGGTGTGAGGGGAGGGGTTCCTGACTCCACCAGCAGATGGAGCCATAGCCATTACTGGTTACAGCCATCTCCGTTGAATGTATCTCCCTTCTAGGACATCACACCGTGAAGAAAAATGCTTTGCTTTTTTTCTACCCCAACTCATGCGGGGTCATTGGGGTGCTGCAACCCTCAGATTCAGGAAAGCCTTAAAAGGTCAGTAAGTCATGTATTTACTGATGTCATCATTCACATAGCTTCTTGTATATTGGCATTTTGTTTGCCCGGTGGCCCATGGTACCATGTATCATTCATGCAATGTTTGTTTCAGCACTAAGTAGTTCGCAGAGTTTATTCAAGAGGATCTTCCCTCATGGCCCTGAAAATCCTTGCACGGAAGAGTGGTAGACTCCTAAAATAAGCAAGAGTCGGCATGTTCCTTAAAACTGGGGTCATAAACAGAGTGGTGATCTTCTTGGCTGCTGCTATCTGCTTTGCTGCTGTTCTGGATGTTAACCATCCTATCTTCGCAAGTTGCGCACCCGCAGTAGAGTTGGATGTTACCTTCCTGAGTTCTCTGAGCACTAGCTACCTTTCCATTTCATGGTCCTGCGACCGGTCACTCTAGATAATAGCTAGTTGCCTGGTCTGTGCTGGACCCGTCAAGTGACGTAGGTCTGTTCAGCAGGCTAACCGCATGTGACCATCTGTTTCCCGGTCTGAGCGAACCCGGTCAAGTTGTTTTATGAGGAGCCCCTCCGCAACTAAGTCTATTCTTCGGTCTCCCTTGACCCGGACTGCCTGTTCTACTGTCTGCCATGGCCACCCCTATCTTGTCTGCGGACTTACATGACCACAACCAGTCCTAGTATTCGGTCAACCTTGACCCCAACCTATCCTGTCCTTTGGTCAAGCAGACCCTCTCTTTTACTTCGGGAGATTTTGAAATCCCACCATGCCTTACTATGGTCCAGCTAGACCCTCGCTATGTCCTGCCGCTTCCCTTGTCCCCGTGTCCTTATCTGTGGTTCAACGAGACCATTCTTTTTTCTTGTCTTGTTAACCTTGGTCTTGGTTTCTCGGCTCCACGTGACCTACTATATGTCCCCTTGTGACTCCAGCTAGTTATTTTATTCCATCAAATGAACCTGGTTTTGGGGGATATGCCTCATCTCGGCTCGACATCCGGGCCCCTGGTCTATCTTGCGGCAGGATGGAGTCCAAGCCCCAAACAACTTTGCAACATTAATATTATGCCTGTTATAATAAAGCATTGTTCAAATTTCAAGAAGTCTCTCCGGATTGAAATATAGTTTCTTTGCTGCCAAGGCCGACGCCTTCCGTCAGTTTAACAATTGTTTTGGTTGATTTTCACATGGATGACAAGATACTCATTGTTTGCTAGTGTTGCTTTAACAAGAAGAAAAGTGCCTCTTAATCCATCTTCATACAGAGTTCAGTGTGTTATGATGGTGGTCCTCGCTGGGACCTTATTATACCTTCATACATCATCTCTTCTCTCAGACATGAAGCTGTCAAACCCAGCAATTAAATTTGTATCTAAAATTGTCTTTATCTGAAGGGGAAATAAATGTCCTGTCAAGGTTGGGGTTCATGTCTGGTTTTATTTTGTAGTTTTTATAGTTTTATAGAAGTATTGCCTCTGTTCTCCCTGGGTCATGTCACTTCCAGCCTTGTCCTGTCTTCCCCTGTGATTGTCTGTCATGTCATGATTGTTTCCAGCTGTTTCCAATCACCTGCACCTCCCTAGTGTATTTAAACCATGTGTGTCTGTTGTCACTTGTGGCGTCATTACTAAATGTTAGTTGTTCGTTGTCAGAAGCCCGTGTCCATGTTGTGACCACGTTTTTGCCTTGTTGGAAAGTTTTTTGACCATTAAAGTCCATTTTGTTTCCTGAAAAACTGCGTCTGAGTCCTACCTATATTCATAACCAGGCCGTTGAGTCCAGATGAAGTCCATAAATAGAGGTTTAACCTTTAGCTGCTGATGGCCGGGAGCGCTGCTGCTCTGAATAATGCTGCCTATTAACACAAGTATGCTGTTACAGCAGGTCAACCCGAGTCAATGGCTGAGTGACATATCACTGGGATGATGAATCCCTTTAGGTCACGGTGGCTGGTCTGGCAATTTAATAAAGCTAGAATGTCACTGAACAAACCCTTGTGACACATTTGTGAGGCATTATTAAATAAATAGTTCAATGTAATATATGTCAACACATAGGGTCTTAAAAGCTACATTCAGGCAGCACATTCTCTAAATAAAGAAGGTTGAGGAAACAGGCTGAGGAACGAGTGTAACGCATGTAACAACTGCTAGTTTTTGACTAAATAGCACTCGAGGCAAACAAGTTACAGCAACTTCAACAAACCTCAGGTTTCTTTCACAGTCTCCTCCCTCTGACAGGAGCCCAGCCAATCACACAGCGTGCTTTCATTTCCTCATTCATTCAGTTACTCTGTATCAGGCGGATTTTAACACAGTTCATATGAACAAAATGAGATCTCTGTTACGTTAAAGACTAAAGTGTTTTCTCGAACATGGCGCGTCCTTTTCTGGATGATCCTGTTGATGACGAAGCGGTTTTACTTTGCAGGGTGTTAAACAAAGTTTGTTAAACCTCTTACTTGAAACGGACCCCAGTTCTCAACTTGCCACGCCATCTTGGGGACTGTGCCAGTCCACAGTCCCCAAGCCCAACTGGAAACTGTGTCTGACCAATAGGTTTATTTACCAGCGTAGGAGAGACGCCGCCAGGGATCGTTGTTTGTTTGCTTGTATTGTTGGCAAATAAATGTCAGACAAAAACAGAAAGTCTGCAAGGACAATTTTGTCTCCTGCCTAAAAGAAGAAACCTGTGGTTCACGAGGAGTTAGGAAAAGATGACCGTTGGGGCCATAACCGAGCGGTTAGAACCAGGGCCTCAACGAGACGGTAACCCGCCTACGCTGGGATGTCCCCCAGGTACGGCCCTGATATCACTGGGATAACAGCACTACCTGCGGCGCCTTTCTGTACCGTCCGACTTGTTTTGGAGCGATGAAGAGAAGAACCAACGTTACTTTGAATCCCCGGGGGAAAGTCTCCAACTTTGCTGGACCCCGAACTATAGACAGATTTAGTTTGCTTTTGGATCCTCAAGAAAAGAACGGATCGCTTCTTTTCTCCGTTCTCGTCATAGCGTTTTATTTTGTATCCGTCCATCCATCCATTGTCAAACCGCTTATCCTGCACACAGGGTCGCGGGGGGGCTGGAGTCCATCCCAGCCAACTTTGGGCAATAGACAGGGTACACCCTGGATTGGTCGCCAGCCAATCGCAGGGCTACACAGAGACATACAACCATTCACACTCACACATCTACGGGCAATTTAAAGTCCCCAATTAACCTGATCCCCAGAGCATGTCTTTGGGAGGAAGCCGGAGAACCCGGAGAGAACCCACGCAGAGAACATGCAGACTCCACACAGAAAGGCCACTGGGCGGAGTCGAACCCAGGACCTTCTTGCTGTGAGGCAACAGTGCTAACCACCACGCCACCGTGCCACCGTGCCGCCCTCTTTTATTTTGTATTTCCCATGCAATTGCCTTGCACCTGTTTGTTCCCAATGTGTCTGATCCTCTGCCCCTCCCCAGTGGATTTAAACCATGTGTGTCCCTTGTCTCGTCGTTGACTCGTCTGTTCTGTCCTTCTCTTAGCTCCACTTCATTTCCAGCATTTATTACAGTAAAAGTGATCATTGATCCTGCATATGGGTCCTACTACCCTTGTAAATTCTGACCGTTTTTCAGAAAAGTTGACGCTCACCAATCGTAGGATAGACACATTTCTGGCCAAATTGTAAGAGGCTTGTGTCTGAGTGAGTTTATGACCTTCTCTACTGGACTGCTATAGAGACTTAGGATTCTGTTCACGGACCTCCGAGCTCTGTTCGTGCGGTAACAGCTGTTATTGTTCAGATCATTCAATGCGAGGGAGCTCTGTAACTGTACCGATCGGCCAAATCTATCATGTAGATTTACCCACACTCTATGCTGCCCAACACACACCTATGACAGTCAGAAAAGGTCTTAAAAATGTATGAAACATAATTAGTGGTAGTTCAAGGGTTTGTCAACATTCTAAAGATGAAATGTGTGTTTCTGTAGCTGAAAGTTAGTTTTAGTTTTACGAGGATTTGGTGCTGCATCTTTTTTAAACATGTCAAACACTTTTTTCACAAAAAAAGGTTTACTTGAGATTTGATGACTCAAAGCAAGATTTTACTGTGGAGTAACCTACTAAATGATTGTGTTTTTGAGAGAAAAGCATCTCATCGCACCTCATTCATCTGAAGCTGAATTAACTGCATGGATGTGAGGACATTCATTCATTAGTTTCAATTCAATGAAAAACATTTCTTCAATTCCTTTGGACAATGGACAATCTTTTGTCCATCTTGATCGACGTGCCCCGAATAATATAATATATAATAATATATATATATATATTTTTTATATATATATATATATATATATATATATATATATATATATATATATATATATATATATATATGTAGTAACAGGATGGCAATTCAAGAGGCAGATGGTGACTTTGGAGCAGTTTTAATCAAACAAAATATAGAAACAAACACAACTACGGGTATCTCCGGCGGTCATCAAAACCAACTCAAACTTAAGCACTCTCCGGCTTACCGGGGTCCTCTCCCAACCTGTCTCTCCCCACTACTCTTTGCGCCTTCTTTTTGAAATACACAACGTCCACGTCGGCAGGTGCGAGTTGCACTTGTCTCTGAAACAACTCTAAAATGACACTTCATTCAGCACAATTCAATCAGGTATTGCAGACACACGGCTGACTAATTGTATTTTTTTTTTCATTTCATCATAACACAGCAGAGGAAATACGAATAGCAAGCTTTGTTTTGCTTTATTTCTTTGTTAATTCAATTAAATCAAATCATACACAACTTCATAATTCAAAATAGGAAATTGACTCAGAAGTGCATACAAGGTATTTGTATTCCACATTCAGCCTAAACATGGGTTTAACCATAATTGAGGCTACATATTTTTTAAAAGTCCTTCTTGTAATCGACTTGATATTTGATGACTCAAAGCAAGATTTTACTGTGGAATAATCAGCTCCTTAAGAAAAATGATGTTTTTCTGTGGCTTTAAAAACACAATCTGAATCTGATTACATGGATGAGAGGACATACAGTGATTGGTCTCAATAGCAAACATTTATTCAAATCATTTGGACAATGGACATGTGCACCTTGATCAACGTGCTCGGAATAATCAGTGTGAATGCTTCAACTCTTTAATGCGATCCATATTATTTCTCACATTACACAAAAACGTTTTGCCCTTTTGGACTGAAATGATGGGAAATCCATTTGTTTATTCTTTTATTTTTGCTGCATAGAATTCATACAGCTGATCACAGTATCAGAACACGTGAATTATTCATTCAAGGACAACACAAGAGGCTAAACATGCAGGGAGCATCCAGTCACAGTTCTACTTATAGAACCTACACTTCTACCCACGTGTCACAGTTCACTCTTTGATTTCACAGGCATTTCATCTGTCACATTGTATTTTTTTAAATGCCATAGACTTATAAAAGTTATATCTCTTTTATTTTTATCCAATTGATATATTCCTCTGGATACACTTCTGTCACGTCTAAGTGTCCTAAAGGGAGTACGGACGGTGTTAAGGCTTCCAGCTAAAACGTACGAGTTTATCTGAAGGTCTTCAATGTTTTTTGCAACAGTTCCTTGGAGCAAAGGGAGTGTCCAGTGGACACACTCAGTAGTAGTGCGTAATGTACACCGTTTGTATTGAGGGGACCCCTATTTACCGTTTACACACCCGAATGGCATGATGGGTAACGATTGTTTTCCACTTTGTAAAGGTGTGCGTGATGATATGATGACATCACTGGTTAGTTTCACAATGTCAGTATTGTGTAGTGTTATTATAGAAGTCTTCTTTGAGGTTTAAACGGATGTAGTATTCTCAGTGGGACGTAGTACAGTAGACCACTTAGTCCACGTTAGAAGTACTCTTAGTTGCTTACTCTAGTCTGAAGTACCTTAGTGAGTAATTTGGTCCTATAATACAATTTTGTGGGTTTTCTGTCCCCTCGAAGGCAGTTCTATGATGTCGGTTTGTAAACGTCAGTCCAAAAGCTCGGACCCTGGTAGGCCCGTGTTGTTTGTTTATGTTGCAGTGCGAAGGCCAGCCCGTAATGTGTTCAAGTCCACGAGGGCCCGCTTTGGTCTGCGAGACGCACAAGCTCTTCAGTTCAGTCAGTGGCGTGTGCACCTCCAGCTGGTTTGCCAAGAAGAAGAAGATAAGAGTGGATGTTTTATGAGAAAAGGGCTGTAGAGTCCGTACAGGAATGCCATGACAGACAACATGATGCTGCTTTTTGAATTGAACCAAACGTTTGGCTGTATGGTATCCACCCTGCAGTGTTAGTGTTTGTTTGATTGAAAAGTCATCTATATGAACTGCACTCAAAGACATTTTTTTAAATATTGAATCCATCGGGATTACTTGGAATAAAAGTATTTACTTTTGATGGTTTGATTCCTCTTGAATTGAAAATATTTTTCCATTTTCCGTTTTGTGGATTCTGTACACAGTTCAAATTAAAATTTTCACGGCTGAATTTAATTCAAGCAAAAGAGAAAAAAACAAGTCTGTAGTATTGACCTAAAATGGCAACAGTATTTAAGTAAAAGTAAAAAAGGATTGTCATACAACTCACTATGAAACACGCAAATAAAGAACAAACTGTTTAACACATATTTAGATTCAATATTTTCCACTTCTTAAATTTCTAATAAAAAATACTGTGATGTGCACGATAGAAAAGTGACCATGCAAATGCCACTGGGCTATACAATAAATCAAATATATTATAATGCTGGATTACTATACAAATACTGAAAATTACATCTGATATATATATATATATATATTTTTCTTTTCATTGAAAAATTCTAGCTTTGGCAAACTTTCTCATATAGGCTCTGACTTCACACTTTTATGGCCCAATTGGTGCCCGTGCTGTGTCTGTACCAAATACAATTAGTATCCAAAGGGTCCAGTGCTCATTTAACCACTGAGATACTCCATGTTTGATATGCACTACGATGTAAACCACTGTAGATAACAGCCACTATCCGGTTTGGTCTTTTAATTATGTTACAAAAAAAGAAAACACTGTCTAATTTCCTAACTAAACTACTACTTCTACTACGTAGCATTTGAATCACTAGGTTGGATTTGGTAGAAAATCTGCTGGTTTCTTTATGAAACAAAAGGAAATCACTTTGCAGCACATAAGCTGGGAGAATTGCCGTACGTAGAAAGTAAAGAAGTGCTAAGACCAGCAAACACCACCTGTAGCATGCTTATCCTGCTGACCAAAGCCAACCATCCCAGAAGGTTTCGATGCGCAGAATCATACTGAGGTATTAGAATTGAACAGTAATATTGTATAGTTTTGCCAAAGGAAAATGCTACATGTAGTACCTGTACAACAAATCAAGTCCGACGTTTGACTAGCACAGTGCTTCTGCTCATGAAGAACAAAGATCTAAAGTGATTTCACATTTTTCTAAGAAAAAGATTATTTTATAGACACAAATATTTAGGAAATATGTTGGTTTGCTATCAGACTCAGAAGAGAAGATTGATATCAGTGTCCCCTCTGTGCATCCAGTAGAGAAGCAGCTCCCTGATATGTTGAGCTAAGCATAAAGACTTTTCTGAGGTGGTAAAAAAGGTCTTCCAACATGAATAGAACCAGGTGATGAGATTGGTCCTTGAGACAAAGACCCAACCGCGTCTGTTGCATCACTTTGATTTATTTCAGCTGTGTTTCTGTGAAATGTTCTCGTTGTTTAAACGGAGAGTTGCCCGTGGACGTGCTCAGACGTCTCTCAAACACTACAACAACTAAAATGAAGTGTGTGATTCTGTTCATGTTGGCATTTTGGGTTTTACTAATTCTAATTTGAAAGCTACAAATATTGCTTTTAAACAGACTGTAACCTGCCAAATTCCGCGGGGTTCTTTGAGGGTTAGGGGTAGGGGGCTAGGGGTCAGGGGTTAGGGGTAAGTATTGCACTGACTTTTGGAAGTGCAAAACTTGTTTCTTGTTTCTAAATAAGCAGACGATTCAACTGCTTTGCTCCCCGTTTTGTGCTACAGGTATAAGACTGGCGTGGACATCCAGGTGTAAGTACAGGATATAAGGTCAGGGTTTACAATATACAAGGTACAGTAAACGCATATTTCAGTGCAAGTCACAGCATAATTGAGTCATAGCTACAGAAGGAATGCTAAGCACACTTATGGTTCCAAACAGTATTCTGTTGCGTATGTGGTTTCTATACACGAAAGAGATGAAGTACAAAACATATCTCTGTGACACATTGATGTCATTGATGCTCACTCTAAAATAATTCATTCTTTATCTATCTATTCATACAGTATGCTGTATAGTAAATAGTATTTTGTGGCGTAGCACCCTTTTGAAACTTACACAGTATTTACAGTGCAGGTAAATACAGTTTGAACGTTACTGTGCTACTTTTCTTTTTCTGGGGATTCATATCCAGTACACACAGAACTGTTATCTAAAAAGCTCTCCTGTCCCCAAAGCACTGGCACGCCATCAACACTACAATGGGTTTCCTCAGGAGTGACCACAAAAGGTACACAGTGATTATTTTCTCCAACACTTAAAAAGGTTGTGAATTAGTGTAAACACGTACAAAAATCTCATGCAGAATAAAACCTTTTTTCGTTTGAAGTTGGCATGATTTACACAATGGCAGGTAACACTGTCTGGTGCTGAATGAAATCCAGCGGTCTTGCATTATTAGCTCTGTCGTGTCGAGAGTCTCCCTCCTCACATTAGTCCTTGAAAGCGGGAGTCGTCGATGTTCCCTTGTAGAAAATGTTGCGTGCGTTATCGGGGCTGTCGGCCCTCTCTGGTATCAGGATGATATTATTGCCTTTTCTCCGCAGCGTGGACTCCCGGCTGGAAGCAACGGAGGCGGTTTCAGAAGCGCTCTCCCCACGTGCCCCTCTGCTGCCGCCGCAGCCTCCAGATCCAGATGTGCTGCCATCCCCCGGAGTGACCCGTATAGTAGAAAGGCCCTGGGGGTGGAGCCTGTGCTCAGCCTGGCTGACGTTCTGAGTATGAACAGTGACGATAGGGGGGGTGCTGACGGCGGCAGTGGTTGTGACGATGTGATTGGCGGTCTTCCTCTCAATGGACCCGTCACGATTCGAGTCTGAGCTTTCCGAGGTGAGATCATTAAGGTCGAAGGACTGCCTCAGACTCCCACCTCCTGATCCCCCCCCTGCTCCACTAGTCCCCGGGCCTCCGACAGCTCCGTTGCCGTGATCCAGCGACCGCCACCTCCATGACCCGCTTCCATCCGTGGATGGAGCTTGAATCACGGGCCTGTTTTCAGGGTGGGCCTCTACTCTGACGATCGAGCTCCCTGAAATGCTGGTGGTGCTACCCATCGGGTTTGGCCCTGTGGTGCCGGCGGGGTCCTGATCGGTCAGAGCTCTGTAGCGGGCGGAGCCCGGGCCACCCCCAGTGGTGCCGCAGCCGAAGCCACTCTCATCTAGGCTCTTGGAATGGGTCTGTAGCAGACCCTGCTGCTTGGACATGGCAATGACCTGCATGATGCGCGGCTGGGCGGCGTGCCCGTTCTCCTCAGGCCTGCAGGCCGCGGTCTTTTCCGCTGCCCTTTGCCAGTTTGCTTGAACTGTGGTATTTATCTTTGTCACGCCCTCACTCTCTCCCCCTCTCGCCCCCCCCGTCCTCGGGGAGGAGGTGTTGTAATTCTCATGAGCCTCCTCGGGTATGTGGACGAGCTGTGACGACCCAGGCCTAGACTGCATGGATATCCTGGCCCCGCCGGTGATGCCGCTGCAGTTGCTGGGCAGAGTTGTGCTACTTCCTGTGGCCAGTTTGGACATGTACGCATGAGCATCGAAGCCTCCATTCATGCCCATGGCCGATGGGTCGGAATTGGATCGGAGCTCCATACTGCCGTGGTGGTGCGGATGCTGGGGGGTCTGGCCTGATGAGGAATCTACAGAGGTGGAGAAGGAGTCTGGGACCTGCAGGGAGCATTTGTGGTTGCTGTTCTTACTTTTCCATTGAGACAGAAGCTGCTTTGAGCGGCTGGAGTCCATGGAGGCATGGTGGAGGGTGGCGGCGTGACGCCTAGCTGCTTCTTCATACGCTGCCATGGCCTGGGGGGTGTGGACTCGAGGAAGGGTGTGGCTAAAGGTCACAAACCCGTCCTTGCTTTGGGGGCTGTGGGGGGAGATCACTTCCACATCGGCACTGGAACGCTTGAGACCGTCATCAGCCCTGGGCTGCTGGAGCGCTCGGTGGAGGAGGCCCTCGGAGTGGGAGGTGTGCATGCCCGGCTCCCCGGCCATGCTGGCTTTCATCTGCAGGTGGTGGAGTACAGCCTCCTGGCTGATGTGGGGCAAGGAGCAGGGGGGGCGGTGCATTATTGGAGGAGGACTGGCACGAACCTCCTCACTAGGCTCAAAGTTTCCCACTGCATACAAACCCTGGCAACAGAGCAAACAGAAACACGTGAGCTATTTTGCTTGGGACATTGTCGAGCTTTTGTAGGACCAAATAAATGAATCATTATTTTCTCTGTGGTACAACTTTTAATGTGTACCACTACTACTACTTTTACAATTCTACAATGGATCCTTCCTAACGGCATTGATTCTGGACGGCGTGCTGTGGAACGGGGAAACCACTGGACGGGAGGCTTTTGATTGGACCGGCCCCTACCAGGTAGAAAGCGATAGATCCTCCGAGCAGGAAGCCCAAGTAGACGTCGACGGCGTGGTTCTTGTACTGAATAATCCGGGTCAGGCCACAAATTATGGCACAGATAATGAAGGAGAAGACCAGCAGGGGCTTGAGCAGTTTGGACGAGTCGGTCAAAGTGCTGTTGAAGTACATCTGTGGACACAGGACACATTTCCTGATCTCTGTTCTCCCGATGCTGCGTTGTGTTACAGCAGGGTGCTACTAGGGGCATTTAGGTGGATAAAAGACATGAAAGCTATAAAGTGGTAGCCCACCATTTATCGTGTTCCACACCTCAAACCTCGATACCGTCTCCTTTGAGAGAGATTCGACTGCAGTGTTCTCATCTTCAATGTCGGCATACCACTTCCAAAAAATGTATATCATTCAAACTTGTAGAATTAAATATATCTTCAACATATTTTTCTTACATATGTAAGTATTACACGTCATTAGGTATTACTACTTAATAGATAATGAATGGGTAAGCATTGTGATGTACATGCCAATGCGATCCAGGCAGTAATGTAACCGGGACAGCCTTCAGCGGACATGCTAATCAGCTGTCCTGCAAACCCCCAAACAGTCTTTACTCGGCTCCCATTCTGAGGTGAATGAAAGAACATGGATACAGAAAGAGTCATAAGCCAGAGTAAATCTTAGCTAATCTTATCCTCCAGTGTCCCGCCCACGTTGGACACTTCTGGACGGATTGGGGGGGGAGGGGGGTTTAAGGGCCTGCGTGGGCTCAAACTCTTACTCACCGAAACATAGACAGCAGCAAAAGATGCGAGGGTAGCGTGCTGTGACGGGAAGGATTTCCTGCAAGAGACGAAGGAACAGAGACGGACTCAGCTGGCGTTCATCTGCACGTGTGAGTCACGGGAAGCGTCAACAAAACCCGAGCACAATGTGACAAACCTCAAACACCAGCGAGCACAAACCCGCATACTACAAGTTAAGAGATTTAAGGTCGTTAGACAGCAGTGAAGGAATGTACTCCATCATCAGAGTGAACCTGTGGCTCCCCCCCGATGACCTACTTCCACCAACAGCCTCTCTGACTCCTGACTCTGCATGGGTGCAAACACGAGTCTTTTAGTGCATTCACGCAGTGCAGTGTGTGTGCGTGTGTGTGTGTGTGTGTGTGTGTGTGTGTGTGTGTGTGTGTGCCCTGTTCCTTCATCAACATCTGTGGAATCATACAAATTTCATTCACCCACAAAAAGCGATCGCACTGCTTCTGAATGTGACCCACTTATCGCACTGGAATAAAACCAATGTAGTTGAATATGCATCTATTTTTAATATGCATATATAAAAATACTACAATGGTTTCATAAAGCCAAAAAATGAGAACATTATAAATATAAACAATTTGAAGGATGCTAGTGGCGGTTTTCAGGTGGTCATAATGATGAATGACATTAGCAGGAAGCTGTCGCTGAGCCGCCTTGAGAGCAACACTGTGGAACATTTTCATCATCGTTTCTTTTCTTTTTCTCAAACTCAAGATGCTCCGCAATCACCTCCCACCATCTATCTTTAAATTCACCATCTCTGCAGTCTTTACTTTGTTAGTTGCAAAGCAGTCGCGATAACAAAGTGAATGAGATCATCAGAGGCAATTTCATGTGAGCAGTCAAACTCCTGCAGAAAAAGACGAGTATAAACTTAGAAAAGTAAGAAAAGTAGATAATGTTGAAAAGGTTTGTGGAAAAGCTCTTCTAGGAAAGTGGCCTACTTTGTCTCTAAAGATGGTGCTTCACTGTGGCCTTTGCTTTACGGCCCTGTGCTGTTTAAAAATAGGTTAATAACCACAACCACTGCCTTTCACGCCGCTCTGCAAACCAGACTGGAGCTCAAGCTGTGCAAGAGTCTCAAAATGCACAGGTCAAATACATTCATCCCCATGCTGTCTACTGTCTCACAGACACACACACACACACACACACACACACACACACACACATCCATTCCACGAATCCACGAAGCTGCTCGTATGTCTGGGAAGTGCACGGCTGCATTTCTTCAAAGTCGCCGCTCGACGTGAGGATGCCTCCTTACCTGCCCCGCAGGATGGCTGCCGAGTCCGGCCCCGAGCAGATGTCCTCCAGGACGTAGGGGTTGTGCTCGCAGCTGAGGTTCAGCGCCGTGTAGTTGGGTTTACACACCGTGAGGAAGTAGGGCGTCGGGTAGCCGGTCATCAGCTGGAGGATGTCGGTGATGAGGGCCGTGGCACACAAACCGAAAGCGTGAACGCCTGAGGACGGGACGTGGGGGAGATTGGGACACGAGTTGGACGTGCAGACAGAGATTTCATTAATGAACATGTCGGCCCTACAACCGGCCAAAACAGGCGCGTTATTTGCTAACTAACAAATGTTTATTTTCTGTTGAGGGCACCTTGCCCTGATCGTGCTTTGGGTTACAATGGGACAGCCAGGGAAGCGGCGTGAATGGGCTTTTGTTGGGACCGGAGCCGCTGTCTCCTCGGTCATGTTCGTTTGAGCCAATCCGCCTCCAAAAAGCAAAGTACAAAGCTCTGTGATGAGAGCATGTCAAAGGCATCATGACATGGCGCCTCTGTATTAGACACTGAAGTCCATGTTGTTGTTGGACTTGAGTCTGATGTGACCTCAAAAGTCAATGGTGACATATTTCAACATTGATCCGTATCAAAACGTAAAGGAGAATTTAGAAGGATTTAATGGGAACCACATTTTAGGAGACGGAGCTGCAGCCGCCACCTTTTCAGGCCGCTGCATGAGACAACAAGTCCCCGTACCAACAAAGCGGACAGCTCTGCGTATGAAGGAGTTGAAGTTGCAGCCGGCGGCGTTGATGTTGGCCTCGGCGCCGCTCCTCCTCCCAGAGAGACAGCAGAACAGGATGGCCTCTCCGATCATTATCTGTTGACACAACAACGCACTGGTCAGGTGGGATCTGGTTGGAGCGAGGCCTTGATCTCCACTGGAACTCCACGTCTTCACGTTTTCTAAATCCTTATTTTGGTCCCACAACTTGTACATTTTACATTTGCATTTGTCTTTGTTTCCGTCTCTGCAGGTCACCAGGGGCAGTAAATGAAGGTCCGTAAGGTGCTGACGGCTCTGCTGTCGCTACTTTAGTTACACAGTTAAAGATCTCTGCGGAAAATGAGCAGCGTTCCAAACGTCAGAGTGGTGCTTTACTCTGACACGCTACACGTGTTACACTCTCCAGACTTCCTGCTGTTGGTTTATAAAGCAATGAAGGGTTTATTGCCAAAGTACCTGTCCAACCTGCTGCTACCTGACGAACCCTCGCGACCCCCCCAGGTCTTCTGGGACGGGTCTCCTTCCTTTTCCAGAGTCAAAACCAAACATGGAGAAGCTAACCAGCAGAACACCGTGCCCACCCGCTTTCATTATGTGTGATACTTGTAAAGGTTTTAGGTGAAACTTTTATTGCCTTGTTTAAAATTGCTCTACAAATACAGGTGGATTTCCTTCGGCAGAGAGGAGGAAAAGGATCCAGTGTGGCTGCATCTCGCTCATCACAGATTCAATGAACCCTCAGAAGTCAAAAAGGGAATAGCACACATGTGGTGAGCATCCATCTTCTTTCTATTGTCAGAAATAACCGATCCAACAAACCTGACTGATACAGTACAGTAGTATGGACACAATACAACAATACCGATCCTTGTGCTCCTTCCAGGCTCCGGCTCAAACCACCAGTACTGGCCGCCTCCTTCCTCCTCACACAGATACACACTTCCCCAGAAGTGACACATGGTGTTGCAGTAGGGTACCTGGCATCTAGCAGATCCACTACACAGAACCACTCATATCTGCAGAACCACAAGAGATGGAAACTGTCTGTGTGAAGACCAAGTCTAAAAACCGGTATTCCGGTCGCTGTACGCTCGGATGCTTTTCCCAGCCTGCACGATGTGGCGTTGAGGCTCCCTGTGGCACGGCGCTGGTCACATGACACGGGTTGAGGGAAGAGAAGGCAGCAGCGAAGGCCAGACAGAGGGATTAGGATGCTTAGAGGAGCGCCTCCAGGGATCTGCATAATACTGCAACTGACCCACTGTACTTACGAGCCTGAGTGAAGCGGGCTTTATCTGGGGCACGTCAACTACATCCTCCTCGAGCAAAGGGAGAGCGCTGCTTTCTCTCCGTCTAGTTACACACCAGGAAGGACTTTAATCATACTTTACATTTGGTACTTTTATAGTGTGAGTGTGTTTTAATGTGTATTCCAAATTGACATGAAGGTCCGAAGCCAAAGAGGAGATGTGCTTCCACTCAGACGGTATGTCGGGTCGGTACTGAGCTGCCGGGAGTGGTGTAGTTGAGATGAAGACACATGTCCATGCGAGGGGACCAGGAAAGGGGCCACTTCACACGCCCGGTGGATCGGATGTGGCGCAGGTTTGGTCCAATGGCGAGTGTTTTTAATTCTGATGATGTATGGATGCTACATGAATATTATGAGTTAACTGGGCCGACGCTCATGTGGACACCAGTCCGCCTGCTGCCTCTTTGTTACTAAGCAACCGCTTCATCCAGTTCATCAGGAGCTTCCCTTTAACTGATGAAGGCTTGCAGCGTCTTAACCCGAACCAGCAAAGAAATAAACTAATTCCACGTGGAATAATTGAACGCTGTGTTTACTTCAATAAGACCAACAGCTTCATTACAGTAAATGTCAAACTATTGAGAAACCATTTTAGATGTCGGCCCCCAAACAATGTCATTTGTGATACAGTTATTATTTTATGTACTTATTGAAATTCTTTTATCAACATTATTATATTTATTGACTATTCATCTAGTATGTGACACACTTAGAAGAACATAGAAGCTCACAAACACAACTCGGCTTCGTACCATTTGTACGTCTTCAAGCTCTCATGATTTCCCCCGCAGCAAAACCACCCTAGTTATCATAACTTAGTGTTATGATGGCCATCGACGTGTCACAATAGCTTTGTCTGTGTATGTCATATCTTTTAATATATATATATATATATATTATATATATATATATATATATATATATATATATATATATATATATATATATATATATATTATATATATATATTTCAATGACTTTAAGTGGATCCTTGTTATATTTGTTTGATCCACTTTTTACTACGTCTCTGTGTGCAGCTGTAACCCTTTGAATTTCCCCAAATAATTAATTTAATTTAGTGAACTTAATGCTTTCATCACACAACACACTCTCTTCCTGACTGAGATGGGCCCAGTTGTTCCTCCTAGCTTACTTTCGGCCGTTGTCGAGGTGGTTGTTGGCGTCTGATTGGAAATAGTGAGCTTTAGATGGAGCGGGCCGGCTGTGTGTGAAGGCCTGTTTGCCTTCAGAAGCCTCCGTGGTGGTGAGGACATGCCTTGCTGCCCCCGATGGCTGTGCCTGCCTGTCTGGCCTGAGGGGGGCCGCTCCAAAGGCGATTACATCTCCAGTCAGCGAGCTCTGCTGGCCCCCAGCTCCTCTCGGGCCCTCCACACAATGCGTGTTGTTGGGCCCTGATGGGATCATTAGAACCTTATGGAGACTCCACTTCAGAGGAACGTCTTTAGTACTGTGTGTATTTGATGAGCATCTGTGTGCTGGGTGACATGAGCTAACCCAGTGGGAAACTGAGCTAAATGTAAAGAGAAAGAACATTTTTTTATCAGATTGTATTTAGCTTCTGTCTGAACGAGCCTCTCTGTGGGGCCAAGAATCAAATAAATACTGCTATTTATATATATAATACACTGTTTCCTCACAGCGAGAGGGGCCGGGGTGGTTCTATGTGATTGTGGTTCTATCTGATGGTGGTTCTAGCTGATGGTGGTTCTAGCTGATGGTGGTTCTAGCTGATGGTGGTTCTATGTGATTGTGGTTCTATCTGATGGTGGTTCTATGTGATTGTGGTTCTATCTGATGGTGGCTCTATCTGATGGTGTTTGCCCCTGCAGTGGTCCTGCATGTATTATACACTGTTCATTCTGTACAAATGGCATCCATTGTAGTCTGTCCATCCCGGGAGTGGGATCCTCCTCTGACGTTCTCCCTGAGGTTTCTTCCCTTTTTCCCCTGTGCGGTGGGTTTCGGGACAGAGGATGTCGTATGTGTACAGACTGTAAAGCTCTCAGAGGCAAATTTGTAATTTGTGATTTTGGGTTATACAAAATAAAATGAAATGAATTGAATTCTGGGCGGAGTTTGCTTGTTTTAATGTGGGTTTTTCTCCGGACTCAAACAACAAGCAGCTTGGGTTAACTGAGGCCTGTAAAAACTGCCCTCGGTGTGGACGTCAGCAAGGATGCTTTATGTCTGTCAGCCCTGGGGGGCTGGACCTGTCCGCGGGGACCCGCCTCCGCCAACTGTCAGCTGGGATCAGGACCCCGTGTGGGAGGAGCCATCACGGAGGACAGATGGATGTCATTTCAGCGGCGTTCATGTTACCGTACATCTGTTTAATGTCGTCGTTGAGTCGAGTGAAGAAGAAAGCATTTGTTGTTAAGGGTTATGAGCATGTGAGGAACGTACAGGAGCTCCATGTGACGCAGTAAAAGATGTGGATCATTTGTTGTGATCACTGATCGCGGTGAAACTCTCCCATGTGGTCAGAAATACACACAATAAGCGTCATGCTGTTTGCATCTCAACATACCAGAAGGTGGAATAGTAAAGAGTGCTCACCAAATAAATCATATTCATGCAGTGAAATGTTTATAAAAATACAGTCTGATCAATAGAGTTTATAAAGACTATGACACTGATAACTGTGATGCGTTACTCTCAGTATTTACTACCTGAAGTATTATTGTGTCATAAATGGATAACGTATTTTCACCCTTAAACAATAAAATCAAATATTGTTTTACATTCATCTTATACAATAACAGTGTTATCGAAGTCTATGTCTTAGAAATAACAGCAAAGCAATATAATGTCAAATAATGCAGCATGCTCAGCTGTAAAAGGTTGAATCCACTGGTGAGCGCGAAGCTTTACCGCGATGGCGGGTCCGGCGAAGGCCAGGCTGAGCAGCACCAGCAGCGGGATGACCTCGTGGTTGGGGTCGATGTAGGGAAGGCTCAGGCTGCGGTCGTGGCAGTTGAAGCCCGACTTCGCTGGCTTGAACACATCCGTCCACTCCAGGAAGTACAGGCTGACCACCGAGGACACCAGGATCGGCAGCTGAGGAGATGGAGGGGAGATGGAAGAGCTGAGGCAGGAGGAGCTTCAACGGATGAATCAGAGCGCGGTCAGGGGCCAGTGGCTCCGTGAGAATGCTCATTTCAATGAGGACAAAGTCAGAGGACAAAACGCTGTGACCTAAAATCATACAAAACGCACAGTTCACACAATGAATGATGTCGATGAGATTATGCACACGTTATTCAGCTCTTATCCCAATATCATGACACACTGTCTGAAAGAAACAAGCCCCACTATCCAATCACCAGCCTGCCTGCTAGAAAAGCATCTTTCATCTGGTTAGTGTGTGTGTGCGTTAAACAATAAACCACTGAGGCTTCCTGGTGACCTCATAAAGCATCACGTACCATCTACACGCACCAATAGCCACAGGTAATAACAGACGAGTAGACTGAAAACCCAACAGGTTCTCTGCCCAGACACAAGCTCTTACTCTGAGAGGACTGGAACCATCGCTGTGCTTCTATTCATCAGGATCCAGGTTAACGCGCCGCAAGTCTGTGAAAACGATGCCAGTCGTCCACCGACTAATGCCGACGTGGCCGTGATGAGAATGCAGGCTCCAGCGAATGGAGGATTATGTGTGTCCCCTACCTTCATACTCATTTCCCTTCAAGTAATACGTGATGACGTCAGAGGAAACCTTCCCACCACAGAGTATTAGGAGAGAGCCGTCAGCAGACACACCTTCTCCTTTAATGTGTCCAAACCCTTGAGTGCTCCTGTACCATCAAGGTCTAAGGCGTCCACGTGCCAGGCCAGCAGGCCGGCGAGCCCCTCTCTGCCCTCCCCCCCCCAGGTCGGTCGGCTAACGTCAGCCTCCCTCCGCTCTCAGCTGGAGGGGAAATGTAGGTCAGTGTTGTCAGCGTTCGCTCCGCTCTGCAGATGGAAGCTGCTCTCACGGGAATTCTGTTCTCTTCACACTTCAAAGTAGATTTCCGCAGGATCCTTTATGTCACATCCTGTTATTCAGGAATTGCAGCCAATAGTGGCTCAAATTGACTCCAAATACGGCGTCTAGTGTTTGTAACGTGAGTAAGAACGGGGAAGATAACCAGCGTGAGAGAGCGAGCAGCTCTTCATTACAGCAGAAAACATGACATCAAGTATAATGTGGATACAAGATGAATATTCATGGATGTTCCTGCTCCCTTCACACTGATTCCTGTTGAACCCACAAATATTTATTATTAATTACAACAGAGTCTGTGCGTAATAACACTTTTACTTTCTCACAAGTACCAGTGAAATGTTTGGAATTGGACCTTTGACCGGTACTGTTTGTGGCTTAATCCTGATACTTCATCTCTTTGATGTACCCGTCCTGTTTTTACACCCAGAGACAAAATGAGTGGACCTTCATTGCTTACAAGAAAGAAGCCTGTATTAGCAATTAAAAAATGGTAAACTTGTCCTTTTTAAAAACCGCTACGGGCAACTTGAAAATCTGTTTATTAATGTAACACAATAAAGTTTATTTGGAGTGTGTTTCAACTGACCTACTTCTCATCTGTGTGAATCTCTCTAAACAAGCGCCGTTACTCGAGCAATATGCACATTTCTGTTACTAGTGATGCTTCCACATGTAAACCTCCCGGTGAAGGCAGAGCTGGTTGAGCCGGAGATCATTCTGACGGCTTTTCTACAACTTAGTAGTTGGGTTGCTAAAGAAAAACATTTTTATAAGCGGCTATAAAATGACTGCAGATTAATGACGGTCAGCAAAAAGTACAATATTATGTGACGAAACATTTGAAGCCGAGACACAAACAGTCGGCAGGAGGCAGAAACGTTCAGCGTTTCCCTCACACACACCTCCTCTGTCTGTCACATGGCGCTTAGACAGCCAGATGTGATGCAGATGTTTAGGGGCAAGTAATGCTTTGGGTCTGTCTTTACCTGCCTCTAACGTAAAGGTTTACAGGACCAGCGTTGTCGAGTGTGTGTGTTGCAGTAAATATTATGGGCAACTGAATGGATGGAGCACGACGACAGCTGTCCTGCTCTGCAGAAGCTTCCCACGAGAGGGAAATGACTTCACTCCAGTCCTGGTTCTTATCATGAAGCTACTTATAAGCACTTACTTATAATAAGGGATTGACTTTGCCGTCACGTTTAACTGTGATGTCAATTCTACACGTGTTTCCCTAATTAACGCATTCAATGAAAGAAAAATGAGCAACAAATAGAGAGTTATGACACCACGGCAGGTACAACCAGCACGGAGTATCCGTGTTACACGGAGCAGCTGCCGACATACACGCGCACGCGTTAAGGCAAAAGAGAGCTGCAGCAGCACCGAGGCCAGATGATCTATTTCTGTACGGTTGTTTTTAACGTTACATCCGTGTCACTCGGTGCGGGATGTGATGGAGACCACAGCTGTTCACGTTCCTGAGGAAGACCTCGGGCGGGACTGTCCGCTGCCACAAACAGGGTTAAACAAAACCTGAGCTACGTTCTATCGGGATGCAACATGCTGAAGCAGCGTTAACCTCTTGTGCAGATACGGCGGAGGCTTCGTCCTTAATCTGGGCCGCTGGGCGTCCCTCGCTGCCATTAAACAATCATCTCATGTTTGGCTTTTCCCCCCGTTGGAGGAAACAGTTGCTTGGCTGCTCCTCGTGCTTCCATTCGTTCTAGTTTGCAGGGGAAGCAGCCCGGGGCGTCGGTCCAAACTACGGCACAGGGATTACACGCACAGCTGCTCCGGATGGCCACTTATAAAAATAGCTCCTACTCGCTACCAGGCTCGGTAAGGCCGGCTTTGTTTTAGTTTGATTTGGTATTTCAAAGCGAAATTGTTTACCATTTGTTGTTTTTTTCCTCTCATCAGGTCCAGTTCTGTTCTAAGGAGACTTTGCTAATGTTGTTAGATCAGCGCTGCAGAGCTCGTCTAGAAGACAGTTATCGTATTCAGGGAACAATATAGAAAACTTCTCTCACTAATAGTTCAATATTCGCAACAATCATCTGTGAGGTGAATATATATAATATATATAATATATATATATATATATATATATATATATAGCTTCTCCCTCTGGAGAGGAGTTGCTTCACGCTGGGTCGAGCACAACATTACCGGCCCTACAGCTGTAGTTACTAGTTACCCATTTACAGCACAACACAGAGGGCAGTTGGTGTCCATGTGTTCATCTCCTATAATCTGATTGGTCGACTGCCACAAGTCATACAATTGTCACAACAATTGATACTCGGTGGTTAATACCTGGAAAGCAAACGTCTGCTGTCAATCAAGGTGTTGGTTCACAGCCCCTTGTTACATCCGGCTTCTCCTTCTGTGGGGGGAATCTATTGTTAATAGAGATGTAGATGACATGGTGGGAGGATCCCCCTCACCGGGTCCCACAATCTGCATCCATCACGGGTGGATGGGAGAGACACAGGCGGCGGGAGGGGGGCAATCTAGACGCATCCGCGCATTTGTGATTATTTCATCGTCCCGATGTACCAAAGAGTCGGCAGGCGGGTCCTCCGCGCGGGACCTTCGCGTGACCACAGACGCACGCGGGGACCTGCGGGCATGTTTGCGTCGCGCATCTGGCTGCACGTGATGCTTTTTATTCTGCGCCATCCCCAGCGCGATGACCAACATCCAAACACAATACTAACAATAATCAAGCTCTCCTGGTCTGCTGGAGAAGTTCAGAGGAACACACTAACGACACACAAGAGCGTGTCCCCGTGTCCCCGAGGGGACGCCTGTCCAACGACGCACGTCTCTATCCGTGCTGTAAGCAGGTGTGCAGCGCACATACGATCACGTGATCCTCCATCGAGGCTTTGCCAGTGGTGAGAATGAACCTGAACGCACCACACGTGCACGCGCATCTCTCTGTGACCTACATACTGAAATGTACCGATGAGCTGATCATCATAGGAAGCCCACCTAACGAGTCGCATGCATGTTAGAGATGGGGGGGGGGGGGGGGGGCGGCATGCAGCGGGAACCCACCTCTACGAAATAGAAACATGGCAGCAGGCTGACGCTGTCTTTGGTCGGGGTCCCCTTCTGTCTGGCAGACATGGCCGGGCCTCAAAGTATCCAAGACGAGAGGCGGGAAGGACGGCGGATCTCCGCCGGGATCAGGAGCGCTGCATGCCGCCGTGCGCAGCGGGATGCTCGGAGACGACAGCTAACGAGTGGCCGGCACCGACCCCCCCTGCCGATGCACACACCCACACCCCGACCCCCCCCTCTCCCTCCCGATGCGCACACCCGGCCCTTTATCGCTGCGAGCGAGGAGCCAGCGGCTCGGAGCGTGCGCGCCTTCCGACGAGCTGTCAGGTGGAGAACGAGGCACGCGGACGAGCGGAGGGAGGGAGGAGAGGGAGCGCATGCGCACTGCGCACGAGGCTCTGTTTTTCAACGGCGTTTAATAAAGAGATGACCACGTGACCCGGAGAGAGCAGGCAAACTGAAGGGGGACGAGTGGTAAACGGACCACATTGCGCACTGCTGGGCTAAGCTAAGCTAAGCTAGCTGCTGGGCTACTTCCATCCCACCATTTACGCTGTGTGGCACACGTCTGAACCAGTGTTGTCCTACCAGACGCTGGTTTCTGCACCAACAGGCCACAGAGGAGCTCATTGACTACACAGCGACTGTCTCTTGCTTCCACCAACCATCTAGAACAATGAGCGCTGTAGGATATTAGAAATAAACTGACGACCCGGTGGACCTTTGACCAGCTGATGAGAGGAAAACTAAATCAAAAGTACGCTGGTGCATCCGCCCACAGCTCCCAGAGGTCCCATCTGAGGTCACAGGGTCAACATGGCAGCAAAGAAAGGAAAGAGAACCAATCCTTCTCTTTTCTGCTCTCGTCTCGTGACATTTGGGAAAATGTGTAAAATGGTTCTAGAGTCCAAATGTCTGAAGGCCGTAAAGTCACACGAGTCATTTTCTTCAGACCAACATTATATCTTCTCATCTTGGACCTTTGAGCTCTTTGGTCTACAGCTTGATTTAGGATGGAAGTGTGACAAAGAGACCTTGCTTTTTGCTTTAAACAGTCGTATTCTGCCCCCTAGTGGTGGAGATGTGAACACGTTTACTCTCCTTAAAGTGTCTCTGAGCACTGAAGCAACACAACAATACTGGAAATAAATATCAGAGCCGAAAGCAACGAGTCTGCCACCACAAACTGTGTTATTACCTACAGTAATAAATGTGTTGTTACTATATTAATAACTATATTGCATCAAACAGCGCACAGATGAATGAGTATCTGTGTACATGGATGAATGTAAATGTGTCTGCGTGTAGTCAACTGCTGTTGTTAACACACGATGACGTTTCATATTCATTCTTCTAATGTTACTCTGCTATATTATAGATATTGTTGCGTCACAGACGGATTTCTATCGTACAAACGTTCTATTGCGTTTTACTGTTAAAATGTGCGCACTTCCGGTTTAGCGGCTGCGCTTCGGTTTCGTTTAAAAGGAACAAACAAAAAGGGATTTACAGAAAAACAGATCGGTCGTTTTTTCGTATTTGGACAGAAAAGGACATTTACTCCTTTGGTTTGAAGCAAAAAAACTAAAATAAAACGGTGTTATTTCCGTATTTTTTGCTTATTTCCGTATTTTTCGTCTAAACGGTAAAGGAACTTTGCAAAGGTTGACGGCCCGTTAACACACAAACACACAGTAAACACACGCTGTGTGTCACGAGACATACTCACACGATGTGACACTTTAAGACGTTAAAGTGAAGCTTGGTGACTTTCTACGCGTCTCCCTCACGTCTTCTTCTTCTTCTTCTTCTTCTTCTTCCGAGTTTGTTCTGGCGGGTCGCAACCAGCGTCACGTGACCAGGGTGCATCGCGCCACCTGCTGTACCGGAGTGTGCAGGTTCAGGGTTTATTGCTCAGCCTGCCGCTGTTACCTGGATCCTACGACCTGGTCCCGTCTCTTCTATGAGACGCATCAGGGGTCTAAAGCAGTCGGGCCCACCCTGCTCCACTGACACGACTCCCTCCACACTCCACTTCCGTCCCCGGTGGACAATGTGAGCCTCCAATCGGTTTCTTTCGTTATTGTATTTTGACCCTTCGTAACGACGTGCTCCACATCTTCAGTTTCGTTGCCATTACGAACAGAGTTGAGTTCAGACCTGTGTGACTGAGTCGTGATATGATGACCTCCTCTCTCCGCGTACAGCAGGGATCCAACATCTCTTCCAGCATCCATAAACATGTCATTAATCATGATATTATAGTAATATTACAATTACGTTTGTCCTCTGAATAATAAACGTGTCTGTCCTCATCCCTTCATAACGAGAGTCTCTGTCCTCTCCACCAGACCTCCTTGTAGAAACATCTCGTTTTAGCAGCTCCGTTCACCGGAATATGGAGGAGAAACACACAGAAACGGAAGCGAAAAGACTCCGAAGGCTCGTGTTGCTGTAAACGTCTTCCGGATGTAAGTTAGTTCAACGTGGGAGCCGATAAACCGCTACGGTCTCCTGATGAGACAACATGTCCAAAGGGCTCAGAGTGGGATTGTTATCAGACACGTTGGTTCTTCAGGTGATTTCGTGTTGCCGAATAACAGATGAGCTCCGCGTGGTTCACAAAGGCTCTTCTACTTGATGTTAGTGGTGATGTTTGGGCCGGTTAGGCAGCAGCGTTTGTTTAATTCAACCCTTTCTGAACAGAGTTCTGCAGCACACGTCACCGTCAGGCTGAGCGCTTATAAGCAGCTGCTTGGTTTGCCCACGTGGGGGCGCTGTGGCCCACAGAGCCACCGGTTAGTTCTGTGACGTCACACAAGTGCGTTTTAAGTGTTTAAAAGACACTAGGACACAACACACTGAACTAAGCCAGAGACGTGTGTGGGACAACGTCCTGTAAGAGGACAACGAGGGAACTCGTGTTGATGTCCAGCAAGGGGACGTTGTCCCTCCAGATGTTAGTCCATCGTGTCCAGAGGCGCTGACGTTCTCAGTGAACTACAAGCAGGAAGTGAACTAATCCCACATGTGCTGCTGCTCGATGACTGAACCCGTTGTTGTGAACAAGAAGAGGCTCTTTAGTCACCAAAGAACAACAGTTACTTCATTATCGTGGCTCCACTGACCTGTGATTGACAGGTGGCATCACGTCACTACCTGAGTTAAGACAATGACGTCACTACAAGGCTCACCGCTACTTGAGCTTCTCTGCATGGCCTCAGCGCGCTGCATCGTGCCGCCTTCATTCACGTGTCATTCAACATGATTGACAGCTGTATGAACAGCAGCTGAGGGGCGCGGAGACGTTCCTGCAGCAGGAAGAACGGAGAGAACTCAGAGCACCAGTAAAGGTCTTCAGGGAGCCCCGGTGGTGGAGCTCAGTGGTTCCATTACCGCCTCGGTCCAGGGGAAGCTTCAGGAGAACGGCTGGTCATGGACGGGTAATAAGCAGCAACAGAAACATACGAGAAGACTGTCCACAGCTGCATCATGAGGGACCTCTGTCCTCGTGTCCCCTGTTGACTGGACGACACGTGGAAGCAGCTGAAGGTCCTGATCTCCACGCTGCTCGTATTAACCTCCCAACGTGGGGCCCTTTCTCAACGATGGGACGCAGAGAGACGGACTTGCGTCCGAGTGATTCATATTGTATTGATCAATGAGGCTGTAGGGGAACTCTCACATTGTCAAACGTTGGAATAAATAGAAACCGTTTCAAACATATGAGCAAGCAGCTGACACACACGAAAGATCCTACAGAGCACAATTCAATCATTCCTCTTTGGAAAATGTTATATTTATTCATGTTATTTATTAGTCTTACAGTTCAGAGTCCTTCAGGACGTCCTGCTGCCCGTCCTCCTTTAATTAAAACGTGTTAGTTTTAATGCACAATGAGACAACAAACCTGCACACTGTGGATAAGACGTGATGTTCAATTCAAACCCTGTGACCTCAAACACACCAGATAACACTGGAAGCATCTGTTAGGGGTCTCTGAGGACCCCCAGTGGGAGAGGAGGCCCAACGGGCCCCCAAATAATCCCTGGAGGACAAAGTCCATCTGAGCAGTGACAGACACGGCGAGGCGTCCATGTTGACCCTTCAGGTGACAGCGCTGTCACCTGATCTGCTGACAGACTTCACACTGGAAACATGTTGTCACCGACTCAATGCGTCCA